CACTTTTAACAGGTAAAAATGGAGACGTCATTTGATTGCTTTATTAGTTCTTTGCCCATCCGGTTTTTGCTTTGTTCCTCTTGTTTTTAAATACTTTTCGCTATTTTGTTTCTTCTTGTCGCTTTACTTCATCTGCTTTCATTTTTTGTATTGTCAGGTCTCCAACAAGTTAAACGTTAGGTCTCGAAGTGGTCGCACATTCCAACTTTTCCGGGGTGCATTATGAATTACATCCTCGGTGTTCGGCTTTGGATGTTCGGATTAACAACAATTCTTTTTATGCATAGTAGAAAAGGTTAATGTAAATGTCACCTTCTATCTATATAAACTTATTGATAGGTTAACATGCTTGTTGCCGAAAAGCAAGGCCAGTCATTTCCTTGGTAGATCTCGTAGAACTTTATAAGCTTCAACCACAACCGTGGGTTCTGTTGCTTGTCCTTGGAAGATCATAGTACCGTTTAAGGTCACAAGTGTTCTAAAAAATCCCTATAAAAATGCAGAAGACAGTCTATGACAACTATGGACCTGCCAAATACGAAAATAAGACAACTCCACATCTGGATCCCACACTACCATATCTGCATGGTTCCCAATTGCAATTGCTCCCTGCAAATTTATAATTCAATTCATCAATACAATGAGATTCCTGTCTGCATGAAAATCACTAAAACAGAGGAAAAACGGATGATGATATGACCTTCAATTCTTGTCCGGCAAGCCTGACGGGCCTTTCACTCTACCATAAAGCTAGATGTTCTAAAGTCACTCTATATTTCTGGCCATATGACCATGTCACGGGAAGAACAAACTGCAAATTCCCCTGAGGAATGCCAGTTAGTTTCTGAAACCAATCACAGACCATAACATTTGCAAGGAAAAATATGCCAACCTGCAATGCCACCCCAAGCCCTGAAAAAGTCTCCATCATCAAGAAGCTTGAGTTCCAGCAGAGTTGGTGAATAATCAGAGCTTAGCTTGTCAACATGTCCTCCCTGAAACAAAACAGTGAAACCACATAGAACCAATTTGATGGTGGATAGATAGCTATCCCATCATGTATACAGGCAAACATAGAATGATTGCATAGCAACAAAGCCTCCCACAGTTTTTCCTTGTTGGCAGTGTCACGGATGGGTGGAGAACACTTAAAACAAGTATCTCCATTCCGAATCTCTTCTGCTGCGAATGCTAAGTAGTGGGGGCACGTCTCCACAGTTACACTGTCACCACCACTTTTTGCATCCTGCTATTATGCACAAAACTTGCTTTCAGTAAGTCTGACAAAACATGTGGCTGCAGATAGAGCTGAATAGGTAGAAAGTTATGAATGGCCATTTGTATCTGCTAGAGTCATAAGACCCCACAAAAACTACATACGTATAAAAGACCACCTTAATAAGATCTAATGAAGAGCTTGAGTCAGACAAGTGAACAATATGAAGATGAGCTCCTTTTGCTGGGGCACCAAACCTTGTGTCCTTTGTCAAGGTCAAGAGATCCCTAATAGCTGCCTCTTCCCTGGTTTGGAAACAGAGGAAAAACAGTTTTCATGTAAAAATATATTCAGAGATATTTCCTTATAGCAAGTCTGAGGGGAAAATTTTGCAATATGTATTCAGCATCCAGAAAGTCACATACATTCAAAAGTAAATAATATCTTACCATGAAGGTGGCCTGGTCTTCAGATACGTCGAATAAGAATGAGCATCGTTACTACCACCTTCAACTCCCAAATCGCTTTCAAGATCTAGTTGTTTCTCTGCATGTACAAGTAAAGGCCTTCTATATTTTGCCAGTACAGATAGTCCCTCCTAAGGAACAGATAATTGAAAACAATGTGCAGATGTTTGAAAAGACATCAGAGTTATGCAAACAACATCGCATCTCAAGAAGCCAACTGATCATGCAAGTCTTCAGCCATCACGAATGAATAATTGATTGTGTTGATTAAATTAGTACTGGTAGAGTTGGATAAGCAGCAATACAATTAAGTCATTGATTCTATTCTTAATTTATTTTGCAAGCTAAATCAGACGATTATATGACAGTGGGAAGACTGAATCTCATGAAACAAACCTTAATATGACTGGCATTTGTCATAGGAAAGTCATTGATCCCTGATGGACACATGAAAGACTAGAAAAACAGACAAGGAAAAATTTGTCAGATGAGGATGGTATAATGTTCTATTCATACTGCAAAATTTCTAAACACAAATTCATCTTCATGGCATTTGTACTATGCTATTAAAGCGTGTGCCAGTTTCACTTCTTGATTAGTTTACCTTCAAACCAAGAACACCGGCATTTAACAGATCCTCAAGAGCAGATGCGTTGAATGCATTTTCAGGAACAAGACCTCCCCAGAAACCTGCCAACAGTGTGTAGGTAAAAACCAGTAGTTCTCAAAAGTTTTAGTATAATGGCTTCCCCAAACATATATATAGTTTTAAGAGCATACCAACATCAACGTAAATTCTGCTCTCTGCGGCCTTAATCTTGAGCTCCAAAGTCTCTAGAAACAGTTGATGGATCACTATTTAGAGGCATGTCAACCAATGTAGTTATCCCACCTGCAACAGAGAAAATATAAATCTATCAGCGATTTAAAAGCTATGAAAACATAATAATGAAGCAGAGGTATACGCATACCAGCAGCAGCAGCCTTGGTCCCTGATGGAAATCCTTACCATTCAGCTCTTCCAGGATCATCAAGATGTACATAAGACAAAGTAACACATGAATAAGACAAACCCTATTCCTAAGGTACCAACTTCATTATCTCTCTCTCTCTCTCTCTCTCTCTCTCTCTTACATTTTGCAGATATATTTGTTGGGAACTTGGGATCTCTTATTCTTTTTAATATTGCCTAAACATATCAATCAAATTATGCACAGAGCATAAGATAATTGATTGCCTGTTCAGATGCAATGTAACACTTCGGTCTGCTCACTCATAAAATTTACACAGGTTTTTCTCATCGCAAAAGATTTTGGAGCTTTGGCCAGCATATACATTTGCTCTTCTACACCCCGAGAGGGTCTTGGGAGTTGTGACAATGGGAGTGCCGTACATGCCGCCAGGCCCTCGTGCATTCGAGAAACTCCTCCCTGAAGGTTTCTACATTTCAAGATGGCAGGTGTTGTGTGCATTTAGTTGGTCTTGGTTATCTGTTCAGTGTCTGCACAAGCACGACTTGCTTGAGAGTTTGCAACTAACTGTTACCTCTATTGTAGGAGCCTGGCCGGGCAGAGGCTGATTTTGGGCGACTTGATGCGAAAACAGTTGTCCGGAATGTTTACATCCTGTTCTCCAAAAGTGAAATACCAATAGCTGCAGAAAACCAGGAGATCATGGACTTGGTGGATCCATCTACCCCTCTTCCCCCTTGGTTCACGTAGGAAGATCTTGCAGCATATGGAGCTTTGTATGAGAAATCGGGCTTTCAAACTGCACTGCAAGTTCCATATAGGTAATGCAATTGATAATAGATTCACTTATGAGTGACCAAAGGGCTCTTGAAAGTAGTTTATTTATGCTAATTTGACCGAGTTGTAAGTACATACTTGTTAATGACAGGGCACTTAGAGAAGACCCCGGCATAACGGATCCAATTGTTAAAGCTCCGGCGCTTTTCATAATGGGAGGCAAGGATTATGTGAACAAGTTTCCAGGGATGGAGGATTATATAAACAGTGGAAAGGTGAAACAATTCGTCCCCAATTTGGAGATTGTATTTCTGCCTGAAGGAACGCATTTCGTGCAAGAACAATCACCAGAAGAGGTTAATCAGCTGATTGTCACCTTCCTTGGAAAGCACATTTGATTGGCAAAGAAGTATTATCCATGGCTTTGCAGAGGTCTATGTGAAACCTTGGGAAAATGATGCAATTGGGTGTAGAATCTTATACATAAAACAAACTTTGGAATTTGTTGTGGCATGTAATGTTTGAATGTTTCTCAAATACTTACAATAAGGCAATGCCATGATACTCATTGTTCCATTTTTCTGTTGTTGGGTGATCACTGTGTGTGAGTTTAAGAGCTTATAATGGCTTGCGGAAAAATATTTAGATTGGCCCATGAGAGAATTCCCGACTTTAAGAAAATGCTAATCACATGGACTATGGACGAAAGTAAGACATTTTCATTAAGCTATCATATTTCGCATACAAGTGTGTCTCTTGCCTGCTCTAGTATGGTGAAAAACTAGAAAGATACAAAAGAACAATAGCATAAAGGGGGGACCAAAAAGAAGAACAAATACAAGCAAACAAGCCTGCAGTCAGTTCGATAGTTTGCAGCTGAAATCGCAACTTTATGAGTGTCGTGGCCTTGGGTAAACAACAATTCATCTGAAAGGAAAGCAAATCTGTACAGGATTTCCATTTCCGAAGCTCCTCTCATGGGCGTATAAAATTTTGATATGTTAACCTCATGCTTCCGCTATATCAATCAAAAGGTGTTTGATCAGTAACATGTCTATTACTCTGATCTGACGGTCAAGTTCAATGCTTCAAGAATTCTCACTTCTCTCACTTTGGTTCAGAACTTCATCCTCAGGCTTTGATTCAACTTCAAACTGCCTGCACAGAAAGTTAAGAGGTTAGTCTTGTGCCCATGTCTCTCTCAAAGCGTGCTGCTGCTTCTTCTAGCTTTCTACAAGGCTCACAAATGCGCATAGGTGAATCACCTTGCCCGTGTAAAAAACATTCTTTGCTGGGTGCAGCTGTTGCAAAACAAGCCCCCACACCTCCGGCAATGATGCTGAAATTCCACATTGCATATAATCAAGAATCAGAAAAAGACCCAGAGACTAGAAATAAATATCACATTCAATCCTAGAATAACCTGCAAATAAGCTTAAGTTGGATAACAAGTCCTTTATATAATTTCTTTGCACAACACAAACTATAAATCCCCAATAAATTCTTAAACTAAATAAGCATGGGCCTGACAAAATAAACAATCTACGGTTTCCACAAGGTTCAAAATGGAAAGCCACTAAGCTCAGTATCGAAATCAAGGTTGAGTTCACATATAAAATTAAAAAAGCAGAGATTTTGAGGCATGGGTAATGAAGAAACAAAAGAACTTGTCAAGAACTCATAGATGGGTCAGTGGATCGGAGATGGAGGGAAGGAGAAAAAAAATGAACCTGGCGATTGACGAAGGTGAACTGAGAAGTACATCCCTGACTGTGTGAGGCGTCAACCACCCAAGTATTCCCTCCCAATGATGGCTTTGCCTTCAACCCGATCTTCTCCAACATCTTTTTGCTTTGCTTCACCCAATCAATCAAATCAAATCAAATCCAAGCCAAAAGCTTTATATAAAAAAATAAAGAATAAAACGAATTTCTCTTATTTGCAGATTTATTTTTCCCCTTCGGATCTTATGCTTTCGTACTTCAAAAAATTCATAATTCGATGGGTTTGATGGATCCAGAAGAAGGAAAGGTAAGCCGGAAAGGGAAAGAAAGCTGTGACTTTTATCTATGTGATTGATGACGACGATGAATTCATTTTGGGATTGGGTTAGAAGACGCATCAAAACACCGTCGTTCGACTGTTTGATGCCGTCGACAAACCAACGACTAGTTCGGTGGGAGTCGGACAAGTTTAGTTTTCAACGATAAGGAGGGATATTTTTTATTTTTTATTTTTAATAGAAGGGCCCGCCTAGCGGCTAGGCCGATTTTTCGAAATTTAACCATACAACGTCGGCAGGAGAGTCAGCGCAGGTACATAATAGCGCCAGGCCCTAATCTTACAGGTACATAATAGTGGTTTCAATTAGGCATGCGCATGGTGTCGATATGGCTCCCTCCACTACAAAAATCGAAAATCGAACCAAATAAAATAATTAGTTTGGTTTGGTATCGATTCTGTCCAATTGGTTCTGTTCAATCTAGAGTCATTCCTATTTTCTAAGTGTTGAATTAGGCTGATTAATTTGATCCTACAGTTAAGAAATAGGGCCTCACCTAAAGGCCATATATAATGCCCCTTTATAGAATTTTTGATTCGATTTAAGTGTGAAACCATTGTTTTGTTAAAATTTTATAAAAACAAATTAGCCACACTAAAATAGACTCATTTGTAAAAACCTATTTTTCTTTCGGTCAAACTCAATTACAGCTAATACTAACTAACAACACGTGAGCACACACGTGACAGCTTAACTGAATACAAACTAACTAAGGCCCAGTTTGGGATTGCTGTCACTTTTAAAAAAAATTGCTTTTAGCTGTAAAGTAAAGCAACTCCATGTTTGGTAAACAATATTTTTAAAGTGCTGTTAATACAAAAAGCAGTGTTAAAAACGTTTGGTAAATTTTAATATAAAATTGTTGTAACTTTGAATAATGACTAAAATAGACATGATGTTAAAAATTTAACGTACTAATCATGTGGTGGTAGTTATAGTGATGGAGTGGAGGTGGTGGTGGTGATGAAGGTGGAGGTGGTGGTGTTGGTTGTGGAGGTGGTGGTGGATGAGGTGGTGGTGGCGGAGGATGAGGAGGAGGAGGATGTGGTGGTGGTGGTGGTGTCGGTGGTTGTGGAGGTAGTGAATGTGGTGGTGCAAGTGGTGGAGTTGGATGTGGATGTGGAAGTGGAGGGGGTGTCATTTTTTAAAATGAATGATGGTATTTTGGGAATTAAAAAAATTCATTAAATGTTCATCTCTACTTCTTTTGAAAGCAGCTTTGAAAAGCAACTCATAGCCTGCTTTTAAAAGTTGCTGTCAAAAGGCCATTGCTTTTAAAATAATCGGGATATTTTTTTTTTTACCAAACACCTTAAACTGCTTAACTTTAAAGTGAAGCAGGTTTTTGGCCAAAAAAGGCAATCACAAACGGGGCCTAATATTGTTATCATATACATGGATGGAGATATCAGTACAAGCTTCTTCTTCTTTTTATTCGACTCCTATATGCAGCCCTGTCTTTCTGTGGTTGGAGATGGGAATGCATACAATAAAAGAAAAAGAAAAAGGAATGCGCTTTTATGTCGTTTGCCACAAATTCCATAGCCATGCATTGCATCGTATGATTTTGTCTGCATGGTGTTTTGTTTAAATGAATTGCAATTTGTAGCACAAGTATATTATCTTATGCTCGAAAAATAAGGAGTTTAAATACAATAGTTGTAAGTTACAGACCAGTCAAATAAAATCGAACACAGAAAAGCTGTCAACTAGGCATGAATGACCATTGTTAGCGCAAACTTGAAAATAAAAGGAAACGTAAAACAAAGGAAAAAACCACATTAATTACCTTCCTTTATTTGAGACCCAAAATCACCGAAGAGTATTCCTGCTCTAGTTGAGAAAACGAAAATCCGAAACCAAATCAAAACTAGAAATAAATGCCATGCTTATTACAGATGCGTGCATTGGGGTCTATTAGTTTTAATCATAATTTATTATTTAATCAACACTGAAAGGGAAAAAATAATATTGATTAATATGGTCATGATAGGGTCGGTTATTCAATCATGCCAAACCGCCTATATAACATGTAAGTAAGAAACGCCCCTTTTCATTATCTCACAGTTCACCCTAAACCCAAACCGCCCGTCCTTTTTTCTCTCACAACCGCAAAGCCAAACACCAAGATCTACACAGCCATGGACAACGTATCATCTTTGGAGTGCCTGAAATTCGATTCCCAGTCGGAGGTGCTCTATAAGGACGGCGGCGGAAAGGACCTTTTATCGCCAACTATGGTCCCCATCAACTTCGATACGCCAATAACCGGTATGTATGCTTTTCCTTTTAAAGATATGATTTCTCCGGCAGTTGTTTTGGTGTTTGTATACCGTCAGCCAATAACCCATCATGGAATCGATGAAATACCGTCAGCCAATTATTTTTTCTGTCTGTATTTAACAATGTAATTGCGTGGAAACAGGGAGCGAGGCTGTTGAATCCGAGACTGATGATTCTGAGACTGATGATTTTGAGACTGATGAATCCGAGGCTGATGAATCCGAGGCTGATGATTCGGAGACTGATGAATCCGAGGCTGATGATTCGGAGACTGATGAATCCGAGGCTGATGATTCGGAGACTGATGCTCAGGCCGCATTTTTCTCTTTCGCGCACACACAGCCATGGACGACGGCCTTGCGTCTCCCCCTATGCAAATCCACCGGCCAAAGCCAATCAGTATGTTTTTTCGTTTTCGTTTAATTTAAGGGTTTGTGACAAAGATTATGTGCAATTTTGATTACATGCCTCATATTTTGTGTATGATAAATTCCCTTTTTACAATGAAAAATACTTATGTTTTGGTTCTAGTAGAATTTAATCTTGTACAATATTCTACTTCTAATTGACTTGGAATTACTTTTCGAGAAAAACTAGTTTTGAGTCCTAATTTAGAGGAATTACTTTGTATTTCTCAACAAAATATTCGTGTTGCATCTTTCTCTTTTATTTTTGGAAAATATTTGAAGATGGTGGCAAAGCTTTGCTAATTGATCAAATTAAGCTATAATTGATTTGGATTGTTGATAGACAAATTGTTAATTGCAAACAGGTAGCAAGGTTGAAATACCAAAGGATGGAAAGCTAACGTATGAAGAATGTCTAACTTTTTCTTCTTTCCTCTGGGGCCCTCCTATTCCTCCTGGTATGCTTTTGATTTTGAAGAGAAACAAGAATAAATAAATAAATAAATAAATTTGATACCCTTCTCCTTTCCTCAAACCCTTGCCTCCCTCTTCTCCATTTACATATGTTTGATCATAAATTCATTTTTTTCCTCTTCTTATGACATATTCAATCTCTTTTATTTTGTTTACTAATTATTGTTATTGTGAGATTTAATAAGGGATTTACAAATTGAACACAGGTGAATGTAAGTTTTGTTTGAAGGTGGGTGAACATTATTGGTCAAATTGCCCATATATGGTTAGCGTCCCAAAGAACGCAAAAGTTGGTAGTAATTGTGATGTAATATGTAAGGTTTGTGGACTCTTCTTTAAAAAAGAGTCATGTTGTGGTAAAGATGAAGGGCGTGCGATTCCCAAGGTTGATAGGTTCGCGAAACATGTTTCTTTTGATGATGGAGTTCGGTTCTGAGAGCTATTATCGCAAGTGAATTGCAATTTGCAACACATGATCTATTCTATTTATGCATCTTAAAGATGTCTTTCCTTTAGATTTATTTTTTAATAGAAAGCAAGCACAATGTCGTTGATAGTGACCTTTGGGTTTAAAGGCAAAACAAACTTCAATATTTGTCAAATACTTACAATAAGGCAGTGCCATCATACGCATTATTCCATATTTTCGGTTTGTAATTTATCTCTGTTTGAGTTTAAGACCCTCTAGTTGCTTTGTGGAAAAACATTTGGCTCATGAGCTGCTAGTGCCCTACTGATAGTGGAGAAGTTCTGGAGATGGCAATAAAAAAATGCAGCGTCCACACCACATTGATCAGCAACCATTAAAACTTGGAAGGAACTGTGGAATAATGTAATAGATGTGCTGACATTTAAAAAAGAGTAAAAGAAACGTTGCAACAAATGCTAATCACATAAAGCTATCATATTTTGTATACAAGTATATTTTCACCATTTGGCCATTCATACACGGAATCTGTTAGTTTGAAGTGTTGCAAATTGATAATCACATCAGGTACAAAACGTTGTTTTTATTTTAATTACATCACTGAAAAAACGCTGCATTTGATATTCCATAACATATTCCAATTCCCCCAAATGGCCATTTACAACAAAGTTTCAATGTTGGAATTGAGGGCAGAATATCCATAGATGACGTTGTTACTGCTGCTTTATTTCAAATGCTGGAAATTTTTATTTTTCTTATTTTTGTGTTCTTGTCTTCAATTATGCAGTTATCTACGCAATCCGAAAAGACATTAAAATCAAGTGTAGTAATAGAAATTAGTTAGATGTGTCAACTAGCTAAATAAATGGAAAATAACTTAATTAAATTCACCACATATAGTTCAGTGGACCTTACAAAAGATATATATATATATATATATATATATATAGTCAAACAATATGGGTAGAATATTTTCTGATATATTTCATTCTCCGAAAGGAGGTATTTATAATACAGGTTACAAACCCTAGTAGGGTTTAATTAGGAAATAAGTGGAA